AGAGTTAAGAAAGTATTATCCCATTGCAGCAACAGGGCATAGGCCATCACATACTATTTATTAGCCTGACATTTAAACTGAATCAGGGAAAATGTCACGAAGATGGAAGCTTATTTACTGAAAATGAAGGAGGAATAATTTTCATGAACAATATCTTATAAGATTTAAAAAGAAATCCATTCTTGTTTTAGTATGGGAATAAAATACAACATTGTGGACACTGTGACACAAAGGATGTCCACATTGTGCTTTTCTTTCCAGTAGAGTTTTCCACAGCATCCAAGGCAGGCTTTCAGCCCCTTCCTTTGCTGCTTGACAAGAGGTCTGCTCCTTCCTGTCCAAGAGAGGGTTAATACCACCACTTGGATCTTCTACAAGACACCAGATCAGTGCCTAAAAACCTACACAGCACTGTTGGCCAGTTCTAGGTGCTACAGCTGACCACAGATAATGGGTTGAATTTAGGTCACTTGAACATAAATTTTAACCACTTCTATGACTTAAATAATGTAAACCTCCTCTTGGTGGAAATTTAGTGAGTATACTTTTGATATACATGTGCAGAGCATTTTAGACTCAGAGGAAGAGCATTTTTGTTGCATTATCACATAACGGTCAAGGAGTACCTGGTTTCTCCCTCAAAACACATTTTGGCCAGTAGACAAGCAGTGTAACCACTTTGCCTCCATTATACCTTCGCTTTCTTTCTCTCTTATTATATCTGTCATCGGTTAGGACAGTTTACGCAATCAGGATGTGAATTTCTGTCTTTATGGGAAAGGATATTTACTCTTTTGCATTCACTCAGCAGCTCCCTGGGATACACTTTTCTGAAGCCACTCAAGGCTGTTATTTTATCTCCCATCATATTTTCTCAGAGATGAACATACAGTACTTGCTAATTGACATAACTGGCTTTTAAAAAGAATAGCTTTTGTGACGGTGCATCAAATGGTGCTTAATTCCCTTTCTGTTTGTCTCGAGATTGACCTTGGATTGAACTTCCTGACTTCTGATTAATAATTAACCACACTTCATCCTTTCACGTGTTCCAGTTTTTATATACCAGACATCATTACTCACATTAATCCAACACGCTACAGGCCTTCTGTGAGGACACAGTTTACTCATGTTTCATCAGTAAATGCCTGATGTGGATTACAGTGGACTCACTTCTTCCAGTTCTACCTCACATGTATGGACTGAAGCCGCTGATCAGCCTGAAACAAGAGGCTGTTGCTTGTTAAATAGGCCATACTCCTTAAGCTATCTACATTTTGACTTTTAATCTCTTTCTTGAGTGAAGCATCACTCTGGTGCAGATGACAGGAGCAGCCAGGCTTGGCCAGGCCCTGCCTGCTGCAGACGGAGCCCCAGACATGCCCTCCTGGAGCGTGGTTCCTCTGGATTCATTTTAGTTTTAGACACGGCTATTGGTCCTGTGCCTAAGAGGAGGAGGAAGGAGGAAGGTCAGGTATCTGTCCCTCAGAGAAAGTGGGATGGGCTGCAGGAGTGCACTGCAAGGAAACAGGTTTGCATTGGGAAATATACAGTTTGTTCTTATAGCACACATAATGGACATGGTAAGAGTTGCATTGTATAACTAAATTTTCCTCCTAAAGTTTTCAAATTTAGGCAAGTAAGCATAAGGAACCTCCTTTTCTGAGAAGGCAAAGGTCTTTCATTTCCCTTTAACTTCACATGGCACTGTATTTTTAAAGAGATGCCACTATGCAACAGTTGTGTACCTTTTCACTGCAAAGAAAAACAACTTTCCTGTCCCCTTTGACTCTGTGCAGACTTAATAAATGACTAAACTGACTCAGCGGTCTGGTGTGTGCAATCTGGGGCTATGCGAGTCCAGATCGAAGCAGAGATTTGAAGCATTTGCAGTTTTGTACATGTACAGCTGAATCTTTTGGTTTTACTCTTCTTAGAAATACATTCTGATCTGGAGGCTTTAATGTTAAAAGTAGTTACATTCACCACAGGCGAAATGATATAATTGAAAATAAAAGTAACCAAAGTAATCCGGAAGCACTGAAAGGTAACAATCTAAATATTTGTAGAGCTCTAATGTACCTAATAATGCAATTTGTGAAACTGAAATCAGAAACTAAAGAAAACTGGGGAAAGAAAAAGAATGTGTGTGCATTTTAAGATCTTTAAGTCCTTTTTATCATTCTAGTAATGTGAAACCTTACAGGCAGCAAGATTTCACTGGTTCAGAAGGCCACACATGAGAAATATTACTCTTTCATCAGAAAACCGAATGAAGAATTTGTCAAAGGTGAGAGCAGAGGTAGGAAACGTTGCTTTGTTTATATTTATGTTGCCTCTATTTGGACAGCTGTGAGGAAGGGTATTTTTAAAATGCAAGAATGTCTCCTATTCTGGAAACAAGGAGGTATCTTATTAGCTATCTATGACACATATATACTTTATGACACAAAATAATCTCCTGACTGTTTGTGGGCTTTTTTTGCCCGAGTCGTAATGTAGGAATTGTGAGGAGTCAAATTAAATTTGTCTTTTGCATAGAAAGGCCTTGTAGCAATGATGCTGTGTTCTCTGGAGTTACAAAGGCTTTACACAGCGAGCAACAGTGAAGCTTTGGCAAGTCAGACTCCACCACTCAAACTGTTTTGGCCCACATTGTGGATTTCCTGAAGGTTTGTCTCATCTCCAGAGTTTTCTAAGCTGCACTCCTTTGTCTGAAGTTTCAGACTCATTTCTGGGTGCAAGTCACTGCAGCACTGGCAGAATGAGATAGCAAAGCGGTGTGCTGGGCACTAGTAGTGCCATGTTTGAGGCATACACCTGCAGGGAATCTTCCACACACACTTGCCTCGCTCAGGATTTCATCTAATGAGTCCTCTGATGGCTCATATTTCTAAATGTACCATGTGCTGAGACAGTAAAATACAAATGCCTTTTTAATCTTCACTATAGGAGAGTATGTATGACCACAGAAAAATGGTACTTTTCCAAATACATTTCCCCTCATGATTTCCTTCCTGCTCTACCCCACCTATCTGCTGCACACAGTATCATTACTTGTATTTCACACAAGCAATCAAATAATCACTTTTCAAACTGGAACTTAATCATAAACCACAATAAATCCATAATGCAGTTATCACATGGGAATTAATTCCAGAACAGCCTTTAAGCAAGTCCGTTCATACAAAGATTGAGAGACTGCATTTAATTGCAAAGGTCTTACCTACCATTAGAAGCTTGGACATACTGCAGGCTCCTTGAACTAATGGTCTCTCTAATCCACTTAGCATTTTTTTTAATTAAAAATATCCTAGGTTTTCTGTAACTCTTCATAAAAACACCAGTTCTGCATTTTGGAAGTTAAGATACATTTTGTCATGTTATTTCAGATAAATATGTACCTGAACAGTAAATCCTAATCATGATATCAGTGAGAGGAAAGAAAAAAAAAAATCAAGAGTCACAGAAAGCTGAAAAGAAGGATTAGACAAGGAGAAAATTTGTATCCTCTAGTACTGTTGTCTGTAAGAGTCAATCAAGTTGATCTTCATCACGGATGGGTGACTGATAGCAATATGAAACTTATTTTAATGCCTTCAGTAGAACATGCATTTATCCACTGCAAATATTTTTGTTCACCACGTCCAGGTCTAGTTGCTTTCATTAGAGAAGAGACAGTGTGCCCCTTTTCACTTTTCAGAAGAAGCAAACATATGCATGTTATCACGTGGCCCAGCTTCATGCAGTTTTTGTGGAACATAAGAATGTCAGCACCCACTGACCAAAAGCAATGTTTATTGACATAGCTACTTAAAAGTTGGCAATTACAGCCACAGAAAGTAGGAGATCTTTCTCATACATGCACACGAAAACATAACGTTGTCTAGGAAGCAGGTAATATTCAGCAGTGTTGAAGAGTATGGAGAACGTGGATTGTATTTTGTACCCTATGTTCTCTATCGACAATTGCTCAGTTATTTTTAGTTTGCACAACAGTACAGATAGATATAGAAGAAGGAGAAAACCTTTCTCTTTTGTTCCTTGATCACTGGACGGGGAGACTCTAACTTTTATCCTGTAGTCTTTGCCCATCCTGCCAGACCCCAAACCCTTTAACTTCTTGTTCACCTCATAATCATAAATAAATCTCTTAACACAGTGAATATATGACATCCTCATGTCCTTCATCCCTTCACTCCCTCCCCACTCCACAGCATTAATGTCCCCATTTTTTTCTCTCCTTTTCCAAGAAAATCCTGAGAAAGTCTTCATGCTCTGATCCTTGGCTTGAGAATGCAGGGACAAGCCTTGTCTGCCAGGCCCTGCCCAAACCCTGGGAGCATGCCCTGGCCCATGTGGCCACCATACTGCCACCATACCATGACAGAAGAGTGAATAAATAAAACGTGTGTCATCATCACTGATAGAAACTATTGTTTTGGTTTTTTTTGCTTATAGCCAAAGTGAGCTGGCAAAAGCTAATATGAGCTCCAGGTTAACACTCAGAGCCTTACTACAATAAATACAATTTTATCATCATCTGCCAATTTTCAGCTCCTCACCTGTCATTATTCCACATCCTCCACATTCTGAACAAATGTTACAAGTCAGCATTTATCACACAGATAAATGAGCTCTTCTGGAGTTTAGAGGATGAACTCTCAGGTTACAAGGGATGTTGTACATTAACAGGAATGTGTATGAATGACAAAAGACTCAGCTCAGTGGAATTGTGGCCATACTGATTTTTCAACAACAAACAGAAACAACTGAGAACTCTGGTGTCCCTGTGCATAACTGTAGGTGTAAAACAAATATTGCATCACAGTACTAAGCTCAGATGTTTTCTGAGGTCTCCTAACCTTTGGCTCTTGTGTGCATTTCTGTTTTTCCTTGTTCAGAATCCTTCTTACGAATGTCTTATTATTACTTTCCTCTTTTTCCTGAATAAGCTTGTGCAATAGTTAGAGTATCACACATCCTTTCCTGCTAGGTCCCCAGCTCTTCCTGAAAGAAACTGGAGCCTTCCTCATGCAGGATACTGCATGAAAGTTGCACGGAAAATTGATATATATCTCCAGTGACTCACCTGTACCTTTGGAAAAGTCAGGTAAGTTTTATGTACGCATTTCATTATGTTAATAGCTGATTTCATTATTTCTGCTGCTCCCTGAAGTTTTCTCTCCAATATGTCTGTGAGAAACAACCCAGAAAAGCAATTTTACCCATGTAGGCAATAATTATTCAGAAATTTTACAGCACTTATGTATATTTCATGCAATCTTACACAAACACCTGCTAGTATACACTATTCAGGGTCACTCTGACATTGTATAAGCTCTCAAAGAGAGAAAAAAAGAAATAGTATCATGAGCTCCTAGTGGGAATGGCTCCACAGTTTGCTGTAATGCTCTCCGTTGTGCAGAGCTGGCATAGAAATAAAACAGGACTTCATAGACAAAAGCAAGTCTGGAAATGTGCTTTACATGTTCACGGACATTCTCATACAGGAGGAAAAATTGCCTTTTTCCCTAGATGCAACAGTTCTTTTTACAGCTCAGTTGACTTAGGGAGTCTTACATAAATTCTGGTTTGAACAGGCTAGTCAATCAGTGATATGAATATTGAAAATATGCATCAGAGTTATAGGAAACCGGTTTATACTCGGCAACAGGGTGATTTGTTTGTTTTCTTGCTTCTTACCACAGTATAGTTTTAACATAAGTTTTGAAAACATTGTGTGTTTTCCCTCTTGGAGTCCACTAGCAGGTCGTGTCCAAGAATGTATCCCATTGCAAAGTGCAGTGCATACCATCAGCAGCTCACCCATCCATTGCTCAGCTATGCTCCAACTGAGATCAGTCATGGTTTGTACATCTCTCAAAAACAAAAACAGCTCAGCTGAGGCTTCATCTCACTCCCAGGCACAGTGTGCTCAAGTTTCCAGTGTTCACTTGACCCCAGCCAGTAACAATGCATCCAACATATTGCTTGTTCTCTACCTTTCTACCCCAGTAGGGGAAGGGAGAGAATCAGAACAGCAAAAAACAAAAAAACAAACAAAACAAACAAACAAACAAACAACAACAACATAAAAACTTGTGCTTGGAATTTAGTAAGTGAACAAAAGAGAAACAAAAGTCAGGTGATGCAAAGACAATCACTCATGTCCTCCCACAAGCATGCTGAAGGCCAGAAGTCCACCTTCCCCCTCCCACAGATACATGTTTTGTTTTGTTTTTTTTTTTTTTTTTAATTGCTAAACAGGATATTATAAGGCATGGACAATTTGGTCCATTTGGGTCATTGGTCCCTACCCAACATTTTGCCCACACAAATCTTGCTTGCTGGAAGGAACAGAGGGAGAAGCAGAGAAAGCCTGGGCACTGTAGAAACATTGTTCTGTAATAGCCAAAATATTGGTCTGTCATCAGTACTGCTTTATTCTCAAACCTAAAACAGCATCATAGGAGGTTAATATGAAGAAAGTTAACTTCATTCTAGCCAGACCCAGTATACGCCCTCCACTTCAGTGATCCAGAAACCAATAGGTATCTTGGTTTGCAAACAGATATCTGAGCTACTGATCTCACCCAAGGAGATGAAGCAGCAAATGCACATCAGCATCTCTCAACTGTGCCACAGATCTGAATGTAAATAATAGACTGAGTAGCCTTTATGGCTTACAAAACAACAATTCCAAGGAAAATGAGTGTTTCCAGTATGCAAGTTATTGTGGTTGTTTCTTATTTACCAAATATGAGTAGATAGTCTTTTCTCTTTCAGCATGTGATTCCATCACACTTGTTAGCTAAACATGGTTTAAGACTATGAAAATATCCTGAATACTTATACTAGTAATTCCAATAGAAGTTTGCATTGCTTAGAAAGGAGAGCTCCACCTCCCTAAATTCATAAAACCACATAGGACAACTAGCCACTCTACATTTTTAATACATTATACATATCCAACTTCTTTTTTTATTAGAAGTCACATTACAGACTTGTGGTCACTTCCATCCTTGTTTTCACTGGAGTCCTTCTTATATTCCAGTTCCTCAAAGAATGCCAGCCATGGTTTTAAAAATATAAATTGAAAGACTGCCCTGAAGTGTTAAACTGGTGGGTCAGTGGGTCCATCTAACCTTGTCTTCTGGGTCGTAGGAGATAACATTCAAAAAGAGTGCACAGGCCTGGCCACTTAAACAATGCAAAGTACAAATAACATAAATAGATCATGTCTATTATTGCTTATTCAGCTTGATGAGAAACTGAGCCTCCATCCAGTCAACTGCAGACATTATTACGAGGGTGGATAGTGATAGGACAAGGGGGAATGGCTTTAAATTAAGACAGGGGAGATTTAGGTTAGATATTAGGACGAAGTTTTCCCCTCAGAGGGTAGTGAGGCACTGGCACAGGTTGCCCAAGGAGGCTGTGGATGCCCCATACCTGGGGGCATTCAAGGCCAGGCTGGATGTGGCTCTGGGCAGCCTGGTCTGCTGGTTGGTGACCCTGCACAGAGCAGGGGGGTTGAAACTAAATGATTTTTGAGGTGCTTTTCAACCCAGGCCATTCTATGATTCTATGATTATGTTGACTGTGAGAATGTCTATGATTTGACAGACTAGCTCATGAGTTTGTTTGAGAGGAAATCAATGGATTAATAAATTCAAAATTAGGAAATCTCAGTGACAGCAGGAAATCTTTGCAGTTTCACCAGCATTTAGTCAAATAGAAAAAAATTAGTTTTTTCCTTAACGTCATTCAATCTTGTTCCTTCCAATGTGAGAAGTAACCAGAAAATGTAGTAAGAGTTGAATGAATGAATGTTTATACAATTACGTAATTTAAAAAAAAAAAAAAAAAAAAGGATCTTCTTTAAATTTTGGAAGAAGAGCTTTTGATTTTCTTTCACTGAAACATAATCACTGAAATAGATTTCAGTTCAAAGACAAGAGGCCTCAGAAATAAAAAATTGTAAGAAAAGTAAAATCAAACTAGAAAAAAAGAAATGGGTGAATAATGATTGATATGAGATGAGCTGATAATCACGCAGGGAATTATACAATAAAACAAATCATTCAAATGCCTAGTCTGCTCAAGAAGCATTGTCTTTGCAGAAAAACATTTGGAAATTCCCTCGCTTCAAGTACAGACTTAACAAAACACACCAAGGAAAGTTTAATCTGTGTGAGTCTTACTGCAAATTTACTTGAATTACTAATACACGTTTTGTAGAGTTATGTACTTGCACATTTATTTACCAATATTTTGGTTTGTTTGCTTTTTTTCATGAACAGAATGACATGGATGAGATGACATACATACATACGCACCTTTTAGTCACAGTTACGCCTGCTGTTGAAATCTGTTCATCCTTCATTTTTGCTCTATAGAGTCATTTCCCTCCATAGAGAAAGAGTGTACAATCTTCAGAGCAGCAGGGGTGACTGTCCTCCTTCTGGGCTCCTTCCCACTCACCAGAGCAATGTATGGGCACCAGGACTGCCGAACACCTGCTCAATAATTGCAGATATTTCTGCCTTGACCAATATTCAAAAAGCCTCCTCATTCAGGTACACCTTATTTCTATTTAGTTCTCTACACAAGAAAGCTCTTTTAAATTTTAATTGCAGTTTACTATTACCCCGAATTCTTCAGAGAGTTTACATTGCTAAATTATTTTCATTAACTTAGTTTGTTTATTCTAATTATTATCTAAAGCAGAGCATTCTAAGTAATTCATTATGAAAATTGCCTCAAGGTGATCAAAAGAAAAACTTCAAATTTTTCCACTTCCTCTTCTAAAAATGGTAAATGTATTTCAAAGGATGATACTCCTGGGAATGAGCAGAAATGCTGAAATATGGCCACAAACAAAAACATACAAAGATTGAAGAGGTTTCCTTCACGAGTATGAACTTCAGAAAGAAAGGAAATCTGTATTGCAGGAGGACTTTTCTGACAGCAGGTATTAAAGTAAAGGCTCAGTTAACAAAATAACTGGCTAATTTCCTTGGCTGCTTCACAGCATTATGTATTTCAATAGTTCTCATTGTTTTCATTCTGTCTCCTATTTCTGTGTGTTGTTTTCACGGACTCATTTCCCCACCTCTTGTTCACATTAGATGGTCCAGTCACACCAAGATACTATCCTAAAAAATTAGAGATGACAGCTCATCCCATTTCCTGACCCCCTTTCCCATCAGTTGTCTATTGGCTAGAAGAGTCCAGACTTCTCTCCATACCTATGTTTTATTTAACAAATCCTTTCTAACAACTGAAGAGTATATTTTCTGTCTCTTGCATACATTTCTTCAACTGAAATAAGTACAGAAGTAAAGTAGGCTGTCTATTCCTGCTGTTGTTCTCAGATACAACAAGGACAGAAGCTCTCTTTGCATTTAACAGCTAATTCACAAAACCCATATTTCACACTCAGTTAAGAGTTGGCAGCGCTATATAGGAAACTGATTTACAACACCTTTTGTGTTGGATTCAATTTACATTTCCTCACATACTGTTAATTGTATTCATTTCTACTGTCTGCTAGGGTGTTTTGTTCACAGCAGATGCTTATATACTTGCTTCTCTCTTGCAATGTTTTTGGGAAACCCAGGCTATTTGTTTCCATCTCCATCAACTCACTGTGATACAAACTACTACACTGTTTACTGGAAGTGTCTGAACAGAAAGTCTACAACGTTATATGCACTAGAGCTCAGTACAGGTCTTTAGCATTTATAGAAGGCTGGCAGTGAAATAACAAAACGCATAATGAGCTTCAAAGGGGTCAAAGGTCAAGGGAATGTGAGCAATAACTATTTATGTGAGGGCTGGAATGGGTTGTATGGGAAGTGCTGAGTCACGGCCTGAACCTCTGATTGATCACCTGAGGCAAGCCATGAGTCAGTCAGAGGAGCACAGGTGAAGGCAATTCAGCTGTGCTGCCGGAAGGGGTGGAGCCTGGCTGCACCCCTCCTGGACCTATTTAAGAGCTGGCTACCAGAGGGGAAGGATCTCTTCTGGAGATCACCCCTCTTGGTGTCTTCTGGTGAGCTCAGCTGTAGGGTAAGCTCTTCCACTAATTCTCTTTTGTGATCGTTGTTTACTTTGCCTAATTCTCTTTATTATATTGTAATTATAACATCTTGATATCTATTGATTATACAATTATATTGTAATTATAACATCTTGATTATACATGGGTACATCCTGGTAGCAATCCACTTGAGCACTACCTGTAGCTCTTTGCACAAGAAAGTTCTCCAAATCAAATACTTCCTACATGTTGCAGAAACTACCAGTGCCAGAAGGTGCAGTAGTAGATTGTTGTGTGGTTTTGTTCTGGGTGCAGAAGTAGATGTTGTTTTTGTACAACAATAAGATGTTATGATTCCATGAAGGTTCAAAGTGACATCACAGAGTTGTGAAACAAGATAAATTCCTGGCTGCAAAATAGAAGACCTGCATTTTATGTGAGACATACTGGTGTGAATCTATTCCAAAGCTGGTGAGGGGTCTGGAACACAGGCCATATGAGGAGAGGCTGAAGGAGCTGGGAACGTTCAGCCTGGAGAAGAGGAGGCTCAGGGGAGACCTTATTGCTCTCTATAACTTCCTGAAGGGAGGTTGTAGTGAGCTGGGGGTCGGCCTCTTCTCTCGTGTCATTAGAGATAGGACCAGAGGGAATGGCTTCAAGCTACGGCAGGGGAGATTCAGGCTGGACATTAGGAAGTATTACTTTTCAGAAAGGGTGGTCAGGCACTGGAATGGACTGCCCAGGGAGGTGGTGGAGTCACCGAGCCTGGGGGTGTTCAAGGAAAGACTGGATGTTGTGTTGAGGGACATGGTTTAGTAGGAACTACTGGGAATAGGTGAACGGTTGGACTGGATGATCTTGAAGGTCTTTTCCAACCTTGGTGATTCTATGATTCTATGATTCCTCAGTTTGAATGATAGCCAGAGGAGAAGGTTAACTGTGAGAGATTATCCCAGCATACCATAATAGGTAAAAACTAAACAAGAATAGGAGGAGAGCACAGAGAGGTTAACCAAGCAGTAACAGGAGTGGGACACCTGCCAAAGGTACTAGAAGCATCAGATAAGCTTTAAACCATGGAGTACTCAACCAATAAGGAAATAGGAGGAAATTCATGCCAGGAAGTAAGAAATATAAACTGTTGCATCTCTCCAGTTGTGCACACGTGTTTGTCTTAAGGTTGCCCCTTCTTGCAAAAGCATGAAGTAAATTGTGATTCATAGTGAATTCTGCCTGAGCCTTGTCTATTAAACATGAGCATTGCTCACAGTAGTAAGTATACTTTGATGATTTCCAAAGATCTCTGGGATATTCAAGTCATTTCTGAGCAGGCAAAAATTGAAACATTTTAGAGAGGTTATTCATACATACAACACATTTAGCAAATCTGAAGAAAACATCCTGTAAGATATCTCAAACTGTTCATACAAAACTTCAAAAGATCTCTGAACCTTAGGTGGGAGCTGGGGCAACAAAATTCTTTCTTCTGTAAGGAAAGAGCAAGTTCAAGACCACCTCATGAGACTGAATGTGTACAAGTCTATGTGGTCAGATGACATACATCCCAGAATCCTGAGGGAGCTGGCTGATGTGGATGCCAAGCCGCTTCCATCATATTTGATAAGTTGTGGCTGTCGGTGAAGTATTTGGACGCTGGAAAAAGGGAAACATTGCTCCATTTTTTAAGAAGGGTTGAATGGAAGATCTGAGGAACTACAGGCTGGTGAGCCTCGTCTCTGTGCCCGGGAAGATCATGGAGTCCTCTTGGAAGACATGTTAAGGTACATGAGGGATAAGCAGGTTCTCTAAGTCAGCCTGCGCAGCTTCACCAACGGTAGACCAATCTAGTAGCTTTCTATGCTGGGATGATGGTGTAAGTAGATCTGCCTGGACTTCTGTAAGGCCTTTTATATAATCCCACATTACATTTTTATCTCTAAATTGGAAATATATGGATTTGAGAATGGGCAAAACTGGATAAAAGATGAGTTGAGTGTCGCAGACAGAGCTATCAATGGCTCCATCTTCTGGTGGAGGCTAGTGATGAGTGATGTCCTCCAGAGGTACTTCTTAGAGCCAGTACTGTTTGAAAACTTTTATCAGTGAGATAGAGTGCGCACTCAGCAAGTTTGCTCATGACACCAAGCGTCAGTGCAATTGACACAATAGAGGGAAAGTCCCCAGCCAGATGGACCTGGACAGGCTTGAAAAGTGGACCCAATGACATTAATCAAGGTCAAGTGCAAGGTACTGCATTTGGGTCACAGCAATCTCAGATATGTGTACAGGATATGTTTGATGAGGAATCTAGAAGAACATCAACTCTCAGCACTCTGCTATCAAACACTCTTTGTGATTCACAGCAACAATGAGGGATAAACTAACTCTAGCTATAGTGGCAGCTACAGAAGAGCTAGTAAACCTGGGAAATTTCTGCATTAAGCTTTGAGGGAGGAGAAAGATACAAGGTAATAAGCATATTTTGTTTTGTGGGAGATGACCAGGTGACAAGTCATCGCAGAATTCAGTCAAAATTCCACATGGAGAGAATGTACAGCTAATAGTGAACATACTTTCAGGGCTGCGTGGTGAAAAAGGAAAAGAAATATGTTGCTCATATCTAACCATTATAGCAGCAAGAAGAAATAATTTTTTTTTTGTTCAATTACATAATTTCTCCTACAACTATGTTAACTTAATGCCATAGATGGAGCAATATTATTACAAAATCAGGCACTATAAAATTCTGTTAGAGGAGCTGTAAGAGAATTCCTCTATAGGACTGAATTTTGTCCCTCCTGTTCCTCACAACAATGGAGTTGTTTTCTAGCAAGACTATTTAGTCAACCAATGTGAATATAGCACTAACTGCTCCAGGACACTTCAAACCATATTTTATTCACAGCAATCATCAGTCTGGAAGAGCTAAGCGAAAACATTTGGCAAATAATGTGATCCTCAGAAAAAAATAACAGTTGACAATTGCTGTCCAGTGAAATGATTTAGGATCTAATGTATTCATTATCTTCTCCAGCAGTCAGCAATCAAAATGACTCAACATTCCTGCATTTTCAAATATTGTTCTTCTAAACAATTGATCCCAGGCTGTGCTTCTCATTCATCCATCATTAAGAACATCATGACCTTACTGTAGAAAAAGTTTTGATAATCTGTTTTGACAAAATGTGAAGAAAATAAAGCTTGATGCAAGGCTCAATAAAGTTGGATTTATATTTAGGACAACCTTAGGGAAACAGGAGATCTCAATGAAGGTTACAGCTCTGATGATGGCCTTGGATGACTTGGCCTTCCTTTCTTTCTAGGTCATGTTGATGTGAAGTGCAGCGACAGCCCTGAAATCTGCTGAGGAACCACCCAGCAAGAGCTTGTACATGCTCAATACATGGGAAAGGAATTAGCCACAGGGCCGTGCCCAGCGGGTAGTGGTGAATGGAGTGAAGTCCAGCTGGCTACCCGTTTCAAGTGGTGTCCCCCAGGTACTGGGCCCATCTTGTTTAATATCTTTATTGATGACCTAGATAAGGGGATTGAGTGCACCCTCAGTAAGTTTGCAGATGACACCAAGTTGGGAGGTGGTGTGAATCTGCCTGAGGGCAGGGCGGCCCTGCAGAGGGATTTAGACAGGTTGGACCACTGGGCTGAGGTGAATGGGATGAGGTTCAACAAGGCCAAGTGCCGGGTCCTGCACTTTGGGCATAACAACCCCATGCAGCGTTACAGGCTTGGGGCTGAATGGCTGGATGAGTGTGAGGAGGAAAGGGACCTGGGGGTGTTGTCCGACATGAGCTGACATGAGCCGACAATGTGCCCAGGGGGCCAAGAGGGCCAA